TGGTGGAGTAAAAGGTCCGGTGTGTGGCTTCCCCCGCAAACATGATCTGGAGCTGCAGAGAGAGAGGCCCAGTCTGAAGGGGTGTGCCAGCTTGTCCCAAGGGGCTCCAGAGAGGGGCCTGCCGGGCAGGGAGTAGGCAACAAAAGGCAGGCCCTCCCACACCACAGCGGACAGGAAGCCTCAGAGAACAAGAGCCAGCAGTCACACATGGAGCAAACTTGACTACGCAATGGATAAAGTTTCCACATCGAAAGGCTTGGGCAGAGGATCTGGCCAGGGAGAGCACCCCAGAGAAAACCTCAAAAAGCATGTGGGCCCCGTTCCACCCCCATGCCACCTCACCCCACCCGCCAAGCCCTCGTGGAGGAAGAACAGGGCATACCCGGCCAGCACTTGAGAACCCTCCCAGGGTGGACAAGGGCAGGGGCTTTGGGTTGCCATGGGCCACGCAGTATCCTTCAGACTCCTGTGGGCCATGAATCCAATGCTGGGGTCCCCGCCACTGTGCTGCTCATGAACAGTCGCTCCAGGGAGGTAATGGTTCAAAACCACCAACCATCCTGTGGCTGTCTACTGCCCGAGGCCACCCTTGGGGCATCCAGTTCGGCGTGGGCTGTGCTGTCCTGCTTGAGGTGACCCACCGGCATGGATTCAAAGGTCACCACCTCGTCGGTCATGGTGTGAGCGGGTCACTCCACTGGTTTAGCTGTTACCCAGAAGCCCCTCCTCCCAGTGAGAAAGCTTCAGCAGCCAGCTTCCACCAGGACCGCAACCCTCTGTAGCTGCTCTGCCCTGACGCAGAGCCCGCCTCGTGAGCGGGCTTGGTTTGACTGGTGTAGCTGTGTCACAGGCGCCCTGATGGCACAGCGGCTAAGGCCTCTCTTGCCACCAGAGAGGTAGGTGGGGCAAACCCACCAGCTGCTCTGCGTAAGACCCAGGCAGCAGTGGGCTTCCAGGGAAACAACAGCCTCAGAGGCCCTGGGGGGCACTCATGGAGAGTACTTTTAAAGTGCTACGGTTGTTTTCTAAAATTTTTTTAAATACGTAGCTTTGAAAAATATATTTTCCCCTGTTTTGGTGGGGGAGTACCTCTCGTATGTATGAATTCTTGAATAGAAAACTGCTCTACCCTGTACCAGGGGTCCTCAAACTTTTTTTTTTTTCCCCTCAAAATTTTTAAACAAGGGACCAGTTCACTGTCCCTCAGACCCGTTGGAGGGCCGGACTATAGTTAAAAAAAAAAACCAACTATGAACAAATTCCTATGCACACTGCATATATCTTATTTTAAAGCAAAAAACAAAATGGGGCAAAAACACCCTGCGGGCAAGATAAATGTCCTCGGTGGGCCACCACATGTGGCCCGCGGGTGGTAATTTGAGGACCCCTGCAAGTGTAAACCTTCATTCAAATTATAATACAACAATTTTAAAAGTGTTCATTTAAACAAAACCAAACTCACTGTCATCGAGTCAATTCTGATGCATAGCTATGCTACTCAGCAGTGTACAATTGCCCTCTGAGTTCCCAAAGGTAGAAATCTTAACAGGAACAGAAAACCTCATCTTTCTCCCTTGAAGCAGCTGGTGGATCTGACCTGACCTTGTTAGCAGCTTAACACATAACCCCAGGTCAACACTGCTCATTAGAAGGGGAGAATTTGAACATTACTGTAGTAGGTATAACAAAATAAAATGGAATACTAAGTGGAAAAAAAAAAGTGGACACAGTATCAAATAAGAAAGCAGGTGGGCTTAATGTGGTTTTTTTTTAATCGTTTTATTAGGGGCTCATACAACTCTTATCACAATCCATACATACATCAATTGTGTAAAGCACATTTGTACATTCCTGACCCTCATCATTCTCAAAACATTTGCTCTCCACTTAAGTCCCTGGCATTAGGTCCTCATTTTTTCCTCTCCCTCCCCACTCCCTCATGAACCCTTGATAATTTTCAAATTATTATTTTGTCATATCTTGCCCTGTCCAACATCTCCCTTCACCCACTTTCCTGTTGTCCGTCCCCCAGGGAGGAGGTTACATGTAGATCCTTGTAATCCCCCTTTCCAACCCACTCTCCCTCTACACTCCCGGTATCACCACTCACACCACTGATCCTGGAGGGATCATCCGCCTTGGATTCCCTGTGTTTCAGGTTCCTATCTGTACCAGTGTACATCCTCTGGTCTAGCCAGACTTGCAAGGTAGAATTGGGATCATGATGGAGGGGGAGGGAGGGAAGCATTTAAGAACTAGAGGAAAGCTGGTTTCATCGTTGCTACATATCGTACCCTGACTGGCTCATCTACTCCCCAATATGTTTTTAAAAAGAGGGAGATGGGGGCTTAGGTGGAGAGCAAATGTTCTGAGAATGATTAGGGCAATGAATGTACAAATGTGCTTTACACAACTGATGTATGGATTGTGATAAGAGTCGTATGAGCCTCTAATGAAATGATTTTTTAAAAATTTAAAAAAATAAAGAGGGAGAACACGGGAAGGAAAAAAAATAGCCTGTGTGTGTGGAAATTAAATAATGATTTATTTAAAGTTATGTAGTTTGGAAGGTTCTTGTCGAAAGAGTGCACATTAGCTCTTCAGTTTTGAATTTGTTATCAAAAATTCTTATTGAAGAGCCACTAAGAAATATGACAATAGAAACATCGATGTATTTAGATATTTCTGTAATTAAAAGTGTGAAACAGTGTAAACTTTTGGGAAACAGATCGGCTGCAAATCTTTCCACATCTGGGAAGTTAAAGAAGAAGAAAACAACGCTAAAAAAGTGTATGGATAATTTTCTTTGGTCATATATCTGGATGAGGAAGGGCTGAACATTTAATCCTAAAGGTTTTGAAAGGGGCAAAATTAAAAAAAAAGAATAGTTGGTACAAAGTAGATATACGGCAACATCAAGCAGAAATCAAGGAAGCCTCATTTAAAAAGATCAGTGTCAGAGAAAGAGACGAAGGAAAAGTCTGTTGAATATAATCATATTATATTCCATGCTAATTCTTGTAGAAGTAAAACCAAAATCATTTAACTTCCAGATATAGTGTGAAGAAATAAAAACAGTAAATTCAAAACCCTTCTAAAAATCTGGCAGACCAGGAGAAGGGGAAGGTGGGGGGAGAAAGAGGGAATCAATCACAATGATCTACACATAACCCCTTCCTAGGAGGATAGACAACAGAAAAGTGGGTGAAGGGAGACAGCGGTCGGTGTAAGACATAGATGGGGGAATTATAAATTATCAAGGGTCCATGAGGGAGGGTGGGGAGGGGGGAAAGGAGGAACTGTTATCAAGGGCTTAAGTAAAAAGAAAATGTTTTGAAAATTATGGTGGCAACATATGTACAAATGTGCTTGACAGAATGGATGTATGTATGGCCTGTGGTAAGAGCCCCCAATATAATGATTTTTTCTTAAACGTGGCAGAGGGACAAGAGAAACAGAGAAGACATGATTATTTTATGTACAGGAGTCCAGAAAAGGGGTTAATTCTCTGGTCAAAACAAGTTAAAATAGAAACTAGAAGTGGTGTTCTCTCAATCTATTTCTATTGTTGTTAGTTACTGTCAAGTCAATTCTGACTCAAGGTAACCCCATGCGTGCCACAGAAGAACCGTGCTCGAGTATTTAATGTGGCTCTTCTAACCAAATTCAATACCTCCCACCAAACGACCTTGTTCTGCCTGGGTCTCGTAAGAAGGTGGAAGAGGATACCGATAGGATTCACCTGTAATTGTGAAC